TTCCACCCCCGGACGATGTGGAACTTCAGATTCCCCCCCATATGGCTCATGCGTTCTTTATTTTTTTTTTAAACCAGGTTTTTCTTTGTTTTACAATCCACCCCAGGAAACAAAATGACACTCTCCACCCCCCCCCCCTCTTTTTTCTCTCCCCATCCCCTCCTCCCTACAACCCCCCTCCTCTCTTTTAAGACAATTTTGGCCGGCCTTCGTATTGTGTTTTTTTTTCTTTTTTCTTTTTTCCTTTTTCCAAGCGGTCTTTTTCCTTCTCTGGAACGGGAGTTTGAAATATTGCTGCCTTTCCACAGGGTGCCAGCTGTATGAAATGCACATTCTGAGCGTCCCCTTTTTAATCCCTTTTCTTAGCCTGGCTTTGGATCAGGGACGGACGGAGGGACGCCCCGCTGTTTCTGGCTGCAGAGAGAGAATTTGCTCTTCCTGATCTTTCCATTCCCACAGTCTTGAAAACAACACCAGGGGCCGACCCCCTCCAACCAAATTAGATTAAGCTCCATCTCTTTCCCAGCCTGATTGCCTTTTCACTGTCCAACTTTCCCTCGTTGGGCTTCCCTGCTCACTTAAAGGCACAGGCTCCTCCTCCTCCTCTTCTTCCTCTCTTCCTTCTCCTCCCTTCTCCTTCCCTTCCTCCTTGTTTTTCCTCCTCCTCCTCCTTCTCCTCCTCCTCCTCCCCTTCTCCTTCTCTTTCTCCTTGTTTTTCCTCTTCTTCCTCCTCCTACTTCTTCTCCTCCTTCTCCTCCTCCTCTTTCCTCCTCTTCCTTCCGCCTCCTCCTCCTCCTCTTCTTCCTCTCCTCCATCTCCTCCTCCTCCTCCTCTTCTTCTTCTCCTCCTTCCTCCTCCTCCTTTTCCTCTGCTCTGTCTCCTTCTCCTCCTTCTCTTCTTCCTCTCCTCTGTTTCCTTCTCCTCCTCCTTCTCCTTCTCTTCCTCCTTGTTTTTCCTCCTCCTTCCTCCTCCTCCTCTTTCTCCTCCTCTTCTTCCTCTCCTCATCCTGCTCTTTCTCTTCTTCCTCTTCTTCTTCTCCAGAATGGAATGATGGTTTCCCAGGGAAGAAGAAAATCGGGGAGAAAAATCTGCCATTCTTTAAAAATTATAATGAAAAAGGATGGGTGGCTAATTTTGAAGTTTCAACACCCTCCTGGTTTTCCTGCAAGGAGAAAACGGCTCAGGTTTGCTAGGAAGGAAAGGAGAGACGGACAGGCTTATAACAGAATAACAGAGTTGGAAGGGCCCTTGGAGGTCTTCTAGTCCAACCCCCTGCTTAGGCAGGAAATCCTATTTCATATCAGACTTAGGTTGAAAGCCCCCCCCCCCACTCTTCTTTGTGGCAGCCTCTCAAGTACTGGAAGACTATCATGTCACCCCTAGTCCTTCTCTTCTGAAGAACGTGTTAATCTGTTCATTTCTGCACATTCTAATATTTTCCTCATCACCTTCTCATCCGCAGGGATCTCTCCGCTTTTCCAGTTTTGTGCAAATAACAATTCTAGCTGCAATTAATACATGGATAATTAAATATGCATTCCCTTTGCTATACGTTTCAGGTAAAATCCCCAACAAAAATATTTCTGGGTTTTAAGACAATGTGCTGCTTTATCAAATGTGCAAGTTTTGTCCAAGGATGCAAATGAGAAAAAAAAAAAAAATCAGTGTCATTGATCTAGAGATAAAAAAAAAAAACATGTCATCAGAGGCAGAAGCTGATGACTTCTCAGTCTCACGTAGATTGTCTTGTTTGGCCTGTTGATGGTTAAAAGATTTCTACTGTTCTCTGATGCAAATCTTGGGCTGGGCTGTTTTCAAACGGAGAATTATCTCTGCGTGTGCTAAACCACCACCGACTTGGAATATATTTAATTTATTTATCTAGTGTATGGTACAGAGTAGCAATAGCAATAGCACTTAGAATTATATATCATTTCACAGTCCTCCCATTTCCTCCTCCTCCTCTTCCTCTCCTCTGTCTCCTTCTCCTCCTTCTCTTCTTCCTCTCCTCTGTTTCCTTCTCCTCCTCCTTCCTCCTTCTCTTCCTCCTTGTTTTTCCTCCTTCTTCCTCCTCCTCTTTCTACTCCTCTTTCTACTCCTCTTTTTCCTCTCCTCTCTCCTCCTGCTCTTCCTCTTCTTCCTCTTCTTCTCCTCCAGAATGGAATGATGGTCTCCCAGGGAAGAAGAAAATCAGGGGGGAAAAATCTGCCGTTCTTTAAAATTATAATGAAAAAGGATGGGTGGCTAATTTTGAAGTTTCAACACACCTCCTGGTTTTCTGCAAGGAGAAACGGCTCAGGTTTGCTAGGAAGGAAAGGAGAGACGGACAGGCTTATAACAGAATAACAGAGTTGGAAGGGCCCTTGGAGGTCTTCTAGTCCAACCCCTGCTTAGGCAGGAAATCCTATTTCATATCAGACTTAGGTTGAAAGCCCCCCCCCCCACTCTTCTTTGTGGCAGCCTCTCAAGTACTGGAAGACTATCATGTCACCCCTAGTCCTTCTCTTCTGAAGAACGTGTTAATCTGTTCATTTCTGCACATTCTAATATTTTCCTCATCACCTTCTCATCCGCAGGGATCTCTCCGCTTTTCCAGTTTTGTGCAAATAACAATTCTAGCTGCAATTAATACATGGATAATTAAAATATGCATTCCCTTTGCTATACGTTTCAGGTAAAATCCCCAACAAAAATATTTCTGGGTTTTAAGACAATGTGCTGCTTTATCAAATGTGCAAGTTTTGTCCAAGGATGCAAATGAGAAAAAAAAAAAAATCAGTGTCATTGATCTAGAGATAAAAAAAAAAAAATGTCATCAGAGGCAGAAGCTGATGACTTCTCAGTCTCACGTAGATTGTCTTGTTTGGCCTGTTGATGGTTAAAAGATTTCTACTGTTCTCTGATGCAAATCTTGGGCTGGGCTGTTTTCAAACGGAGAATTATCTCTGCGTGTGCTAAACCACCACCGACTTGGAATATATTTAATTTATTTATCTAGTGTATGGTACAGAGTAGCAATAGCAATAGCACTTAGAATTATATATCATTTCACAGTGCTTTCCAGCCCTCTCTAAGAGGTTTGCAGAGTCAGCCTCTTGCCCCCAACAATCTGGGTCTCTTCATTTTACCCACTTCGGAAGGATGGGAGGCTGAGTCAACCTTGAGCCAGTTCAGAATCGAACTGCTGGCAGTGGGCAGAATTTGCCTCCCAATACTGCATTCTAACTACTGCACACCATGGAAGGAAGGAAGGAAGGAAGGAAGGAAGGAAGGAAGGAAGGAAGGAAGGAAGGAAGGAAGGAAGGAGAAAAGGAATAGCAATAGCACTTAGACTTATATACTGCTTTACAGTGCTTTCCAGCCCTCTGTAAATGGTTTACAGAGTCAGCCTCTTGCCCCCAACAATCTGGGTCTCCTCATTTTACCCACTTCGGAAGGATGGAAGGCTGAGTCAACCTTGAGCCAGTTCAGAATTGAACTGCTGGCAGTGGGCAGAATTTGCCTCCCAATACTGCATTCTAACTACTGCACAGCATGGAAGGAAGGAAGGAAGGAAGGAAGGAAGGAAGGAAGGAAAGAAGAAGGAAGGAGAGAAAAGGAATAGCAATAGCACTTAGACTTATATACCGCTTCACAGTGCTTTCCAGCCCTCTGTAAATGGTTTACGGAGTGAGCCTTGCCCCCAACAATCTGGGTCTCCTCATTTTACCCACTTCGGAAGGGATGGGAGGCTGAGTCAACCTTGAGCCTGGTGAGATTCGAACTGCTGAATTGCAGGCAGCCGGCAGGCAGCAGAAGTAGCCTGCAGTACTGCTTGCGCCGCCGTGGCTCATGTACATGGATAACCGTGGTTAAAAATATATGGAAGGAGCACATAAGGTTACGGTGGCCAGATAGGTCATAAAATGGGGGCAAAAAACAACAAAAGCAACAAAAATGTGGGGCTCAAACTGGGTTCGTCAGTCAAGGATGACCTATCCTGAGTTCTGATTTTGAGGCTCATTTTCTCAAGATGGTGATTCTTAACGATATAGGATTGCCCTGTCCCACAGGTGCTTTTTCAGGAGGCAACTGGACTTCCTTGTTTATTCTTTTGAAGACCTTTCGCTTCTCATCCAAGAAGCTTCTTCCGCTCTGACTGGAGGGTGGGGAATGGAAGGATTGATGCTCCTTGCAGACAGCTGGTCATTTGCATCCTTTGAGAGGGTCGTTGAGGCCACTTGGAGGTTTCTCTGTGTCCTCAGGGTCACCTGAGTGGTGCCAATGGTTCCTGTAGCCTGCAATTTTCAGACATCGGACACAGATCACCCCCCAAGTGCTTCAAGGACCTTCTAAAAGGATGCAAATAACCAGCTGTCTGCAAGGAATATCAATCCTTCCATTCCTCACCATCCAAGTCAGAGCGGAAGAAGCTTCTTGGATGAGAAGCGAAACGTCTTCAGAAGGAAAAAACAAGAAAGTCCAGTTGCCTCTTGAGAAAAAGCCTCTTTGGGCCAATCGGGACCTGGATGACGGAGAGTCTCTACAGACTTTTCAGGTTGTCCTGTTTTATGGGCACTCTTGAGCGAAACGCAAACTCTGGAAACCGGTCGTGCGGAGACTCCCTTTTCCTTTGGACCTGCTCCAGCATGAAGCTTACAAAAAGAAGCACCTAGCCCGGTGCAGGTAGGACTCACCTGTCTAACACACCTATCCCTCTCTTTCTTCTTAGGCCACTCCTTGCCCCCTCGGGGCTCTGGCGAGGCCCAGGCTTCCCTGGATGTGCCCAAATGGGTTTTTTTTTTTTTTGGTTTTGTTTTTGTTTTTTTGCAATTTTTTCAGAGTAGGGGGGCCTCTGAAAGCCTTTTATAGATGCAGCGCAGGGTGGGCTGCAGAGATCGATGTTCACAAGCGCATGTATTGACTTTTTTGCGCGGTGGCTCACACATTGCTTGCCCCCCCCCCCTCCTCCAAAGGAAGAGCGTGATGGATCAATTTGTATTCTTAATTTATTCTTTCAGAGTCTTTCTGGTGTAACTGAAGACTATTTTTCTATAATTTACACTCTGGAATGATGGGCTTAATTCGATTGGGAAATGGAAGTCTCTGTGTGGTGAGTAGTTATCATGAATCATCTCGCTCTTTTCTTTCTCCTTCTCCTTTTCTTTCTCCTTCTCCTTCTCCTCCTCCTCCCTCCTCCTCCTCCCTCTTCCTCCTCCTCCTTTTCCTTTTCCTTCTCCTCCTCCTTCTCCTCCTCCTATCATTCTCCTTCTCTTCCTTTCATCATTCCTTTTCTTTCTTTCCCTTCTTTCCCTTCTTCTCTTCTTTCCTTCTCCTTTTCTTTCTCCTCCTTCTCCTTTTCCTTCTCCTTCTCCTCCTCCTATCATTCTCCTTCCCTCTTCCTTTCATCATTCCTTTTCCTTCTCTTTCCCTTCTTTCTCTTCTTCTCTTCTTTCCTCCTCCTCCTTTTCCTTCTCCTTCTCCTCCTCCTTTCCTTCTCCTTCTCTCCTCCTCCTTTCCTTCTCCTCCTTCTTCTCCTCCTCCTTTTCCTTCTCCTCCTTCTCCTCCTCTTCCCATCATTCTCCTTCCCCTCTTCCTTTCATCATTCCTTTCCCTTCTCTTTCCCTTCTTTTCCTTCTTCTTCTTCTTTCCTCCTCCTCCTCCTCCTTCTCCTTTTTCCTTCTCCTCCTCCTCCCTCCTCCTCCTCCCTCTTCCTCCTCTTCCCATCATTCTCCTTCCCCTCTTCCTTTCATCATTCCTTTTCCTTCTCTTTCCCTTCTTTTCCTTCTTCTTCTCTTCTTTCCTTCTCCTCTCCCTTTCATGCCTCCTCTTCCATTCCACAAACCCCACCCCTTTCTAGCAGAGATGATGTTTCCTAGTTAGGTAGTAAAATATTTGCAAGAAAACAACCAAGATCAGAGAGCACTAAGGACCAAGGACACATACCTCCTCCTCCCCTCTCCTCCCCTCATTCTCCTTCACCTCTTCCTTTCATCCTTCCTTCTCCTTTCCTCCTTTCTTTCTCCTTCTCTTCTTCCATTCATCCCTCTCCTCCTCCTCCTCCCTCCTCCTTCCAACATTCTCCACACCTCTTCCTTTCATCATTCCTTCTCCTTTCCTTCTTTTCTTTCTCCTTCTCTTCCTCCATCTATCCTTCTCCTCTCCCTTTCATCCTTCCTCCTCCTTCTCCTCCTTCCACCCTTTCCTTCTTTCTCTTTCTCCGCTTCCTCTTCCTCTACCCCTTTGCTATTCAGGCTGTCTGGAGTGATGGTCCTTCAGCGTTCCAGAAGGCACCAACTGGCACCAGATCTGGTCCCTCCATCATCCCTTCATCTCCAACCTCACCCTGCCCCATTTGGGCCCAACAAAGAGGGCATCACCTCTCCAGCTGCTGAGAAAATTCACAGCGGGCATCTGTTCGCCTTTGAGGAGGTGTTTTCACTTAAAAGAGGGTTTTGCCCAGGATTAGTGGCAGCCACCACCTCCCCTCCCCTTTCTTGAAAGGACGCTTCCAGTTGTCTCATTTCGACACTCCCCCATCTGTCAATGAGGGCTAGAAGCGAAGGTCCTAGTGGCAAGTATTAATAAGGAGACAGGAGTAGATCTTACTCTTGAGTTGGGTTAGGCCAGGCTTTGATCTTGATTTGATTGGATTTGATTGGATTTATATACCGCCCTACTCCCGAAGGACTCAGGGCGGTGAACAGCCGCAGAATAAAACACATAAATACAAAAATTTAAAATAGAATAAAAACGAATTAAATAATTTGGCTCATATATATATAATTAATAATAATAATAATATAATAATAATAATTATATAATAATAATAATAATATATAATATATATATATATATATAATAATATTAATATAATATTTATAATATATAATTATAATATATATTATAATAATAATTCAGAATTTTATAACAGTTGGAAAGTATGGTACGATTGGGTCCAGAAAAGGTGGGATAGAATAGATATATGATGATGTTTATATATATATGGTGGCAAATATGTATGTATAAAGGAATGATTTTATACTTATGGACAATGTAATCATATTATACCATGGTGGCAGGATTGTATATTTTATTTGTGTATTAGTGTATAGAATATATTAATAAAAATTATATATATATATAAGAAATAATAATAATTTGGCTGAGACAAATTTAAATATCCAATAATTTAAAACAGATTAAAATTTGCATTTAAAAAGGGGAGAAGATTTAGGCCAGGCCAGCTTGATGAAATAAAAAAGTCTTAAGCGCGCGACGGAAGGTGTGCAGATCCGGAATCTTCTGTATCTCCGGGGGGAGCTGTTCCAGATGGTGGGTGCCCCCACAGAAAAGGCTCTCCCCCTAGGAGCCGCCAGTCGACATTGTTTGGCCGACGGCACCCGGAGGAGCCCTCTCTATGGGAGCGTACTGGCCGGTGGGAGGCTATTGGTGGTAGCAGGCGGTCCCGTAGATAACCAGGTCCTAAGCCATGGAGCGCTCTAAAGGTGATAACCAAACCTTGAAGCGCACCGGAAGACCACCGGGAGCCAGTGCAGCTCGCGCAGGAGAGGCGTTACATGGGAGCGCCATGCTGCTCCCGTCACTATCCGCGCTGCTGCGTTCTGGACCAAATGGAGCCTCCGAGTGCTTCTCCTTTGATCTCAGCAGGGACCCTGGTGGTTTAAGCACATACCAAAGTCTTCCATTCTTTTGCAAAAAAATAAAAATTAAAAAAAGAAGGATAGGAGAGGTATTTAGTTCACTTGGGAAACCGGAGCAAATCATCCATAAATGAAGAGCTAGACTATAATTTTGCAGCTGTAAATTTTCAGCTCTCTCTCTCAACCCATTTCAATGGAGACCTTCAAATCAGGATTGATTCCGGGCAACTCGGTGGAGATTTCCTTGCCGTTTCCTTGTAAGGGGTTTGTCTTTGACTCCTTCTTAGGGCTGAGAGAGAAGGACTGGCCAGTTTCTAGGCTGGTGTCTCTGCGTAGGGAGTCCTCGACTTAACAACAGTTCATTTAGTGACCGTCCAGAGTTACAACGGCCCTGAAAAAAAAAGTGACGTCCGTTTTTCACATTTAAGACCGTTGCGGCATCCCCGTGTTCACGTGGTCAAAATCCAGATGTTCGGCAACTGGATCATATCTACGACAGTTGAAGTGTCCGCAGGGTCATGTGAGTCCAAAGTCCCCCAGCCATCTTTCATGGCTAAGGCAGGACTAGAATTCACCATCTCCTGGTGATTGTCCCAAAGTCAGCCAGCCAGCTTTCATACCTAAGGTGGGACTAGAACTCACTGTCTCCTGGTCATTGTCCCAAAGTCAGCCAGCCATCTTTCATGGCTAAGGCAGGACTAGAATTCACCATCTCCTGGTGATTGTCCCAAAGTCCCCAGCCATCTTTCATGGCTAAGGCAGGACTAGAATTCACCATCTCCTGGTGATTGTCCCAAAGTCAGCCAGCCAGCTTTCATACCTAAGGTGGGACTAGAACTCACTGTCTCCTGGTCATTGTCCCAAAGTCAGCCAGCCATCTTTCATGGCTAAGGCAGGACTGGAATTCACCATCTCCTGGTGATTGTCCCAAAGTCACCCAGCCATCTTTCATAGCTAAGGCGGGACTAGAACTCCCAGTCTCCTGGTTTCTAGGCCAGCACCATAATGACTACACCATGCTGGCTCTTGGCCGGGCAGTCTTTGAGATTATAAATATAAATTAATTTCTCTTTTTGCCTGGTTCTCTCTTTTTCCTCCCCAACTGTCTAAAATTTGGCATTTCTGTTCCCCGCTCAATTGGGATGGAGGTGTGTGGGTTATTCCAACTCCCCCTCCCCAATATCTTCCCAACTCTACCTCCTTGCAACACCCCCCCCTCCCGTGAGTAGAAGAATTATCTCCGTGAAGGAGCTTTGAGCGCCTGGAAGCTGGCAATATTTTTAGGGCCTTTGACACGAAGAGAAAGTAGGAAAGGAACTGCGAGATGCCACCCACAAGGGGAATACCCGTTTCAAAGCCTGGAAAATCTCATTTGCATTACAGAAGCCTTCCCTCCCTGTTTTTCCCCCCCCTCCCTCTCCTCTCAGATGAATTTATCACTTTTTCAGAACGCCAACTATCAGTGACAGAAGAAATTATGTTTCCTTTCATAGCCCAATTCTTTTTGATAATTGCTCTTTTAACTGCCTCTTGCTTACAGATGTTATCTTGTTCTCCCGCACAAACTGGCTGGCATCTCGTCCTGGCCGAGAGGAGAGTCTTGTTAAGAATGCCTTGGCTCCCTTGCAGAAAATGCTTTGACCTCCTTATAGAGATCCCCCCAAAATGGCCTTGAACCCAGAGAGCGAGAGAGAGAGACGGAGAGAGACAGAGAGAGACAGACAGAGAGAGACAGAGAGAGACAGACAGAGAGAGACAGACAGAGAGAGACAGACAGAGACAGAGAGAGAGACGGAGAGAGATGGGAGAGAATGGAGAGAGACGGAGAGACAGACAGAGAGAGACAGACGAGAGAGGACAGACAGAGGACAGAGAGAGAGGAGACGGAGAGAGATGGAGAGAGATGGAGAGAGACGGAGAGACAGACAGAGAGAGGACAGACAGAGAGAGACAGACAGAGAGAGACAGACAGAGACAGAGAGAGAGAGACGGAGAGAGACGGAGAGAGATGGAGAGAGACGGAGAGACAGACAGAGAGAGACAGACAGAGGAGAGAGACAGAGAGACGGAGAGAGAGACAGATGGAGTGAGAGAGAGACAGAGAGAGAGAGAGGAGAGAGATGGAGAGAGGGACAGACAGAGAGAGACAGAGACAGAGAGAGACACACAGAGAGATAGAGAGACAGAGACACAGAGAGGAGAGAGACAAAGAGAGAGGGGGGAAAGAGAGAGACAGAGAAAGACACACACAGAGAGAGACAGACAGAGAGAGAGAGAGAGGGGGAAAGAGAGAGACACAGAGAGAGACACAGAGAGAGATAGAGAGACAGAGAAAGACAGAGAGAGAGACATAGAGAGAGAGGGGGAAAGAGAGAGACAGAGAAAGACACACCAGAGAGAGACAGGAGAGAGAGACACACAGAGAGATAGAGAGACAGAGAGAGACACA